TGAATTGTGCACCGATAGTGTGCGTTGCTCAAGATACTTGCAAAGGCAAACCAATTGAAGATCCTATACTTATTAAAAAACTATTAGAATTATCCGACAGCAAGACAGAGCATTTGCTCGGTTTGTTACCACTTGTTCCTGGAATGCCTGTTATTTTAACACAAAATATTGCTATTGAACTGGGTCTTATTAACAGCATGAATGGAATCTTTCGACAATTAGTCTACCAGGCTGATTCTGTATCAACAAATGCTCTGTCACAAATATTTCCGAACAACACACAGTACGTGCATCGGCCTTTATATGCATTAATTGAAATTATCAGATCGAAAATTGAGTGTAATCTTGAAAACCTTCAACCAAAACTCGTCTCAATACCAATAATGGAACAAACATTTCGTATCGACATTTCTGATATTCTTCCAAAAGACAAAAAGCCAAAACCCAATTGGAAAGCAATGTTGTCAATTAAACGTCGTGCACTGTCACTTGTGCCTGCTTATTCTATTACCACACATAAGAGTCAAGGTCAAACTTTGAATAATGTTGTAATTGATTTGAAACTGCCAAATGAAACTGATGACATTGCCGCAGTTTATGTACCTTTATCGCGTGTCAAACGTTTGGCTGATCTAATTATTTTACGGCAATTCGATTACAAGGTTTTGCTTATCAAACCAAGTAAATCTCAAATCGCCGAAATGGAAAGACTCGATAAACTATATGTTGATACTCAAACTCGATTTTCTGAGTGGTTCTAATAATTTTTTTATTGTATAAAAATTAAACCTAGTTGTTATTCATTGTTTTGTATATTATTTTGTTTTATGAAGTCTTCACTCTACGTTCTATATATTTAAACGTTGTTTTTTTTATTAGTGTTTCTTTTATAGTAGAATTGTGTTTCTTTTCTAGTTTATAGTGTGGAATGATACTTGCTAGTTATAGATATTTCTGTGTTTTCATATCAACTTTTTTTGTTTTGGTTAAAAATCAAATATATCTGTAGTATGTTATTAGTTGTAAAAGTTTCAATAAAATATTATCAACTATATTACAAAATCATGGTTGTCATTAAATCATTCTATAACACAGCATAACTGCAACGTGGTATAGA